ACATATAAAATTCAAAATACTAACCACAGCTTACAAAGCCATCCACAACACTGCCCCTAGCTACATCACCAATCTCATCCACAGATACTGCCCAAATCGCCCACTCCGCTCCTCCCATGATATCCTCCTCTCTAACTCCCTAATCTCTACCTCCCACGCTCGCCTCCAGGACTTCTCCAGAGTCTCTCCCATCCTCTGGAACACTCTACCCCTAGTATGTCCGGTCAGCCCACACCCTGTCTGTCTTTAGGCGATCTTTGAAAACTCACTTATTCAGGGAAGCCCACTCCACCTCCACGTAAGAACTGCACTTGAGCCATCTCCATCAGATCATCCCCTACAGCTATCACCTTTTGTACCACCTCCCCCATCCTTTAGATTGTAAGCTCCACAAGCCGGGCGCTCCTATCCTTTTTGTACTGAAATGTATTGTAATTGTACTGTCCCCCTTATATTGTAAAGCGCTGCGCAAACTGTTGGCGCTATATGGGCAGCACAGTGGCTAAGTGGTTAGCACTTCCGCCTGGCAGTACTCGGGTCGCTGGTTCAAATCCCAACCACGGCACCACCTGCCTGGAGTTTGCATGTTCTCCCTGTACCTGCATGGGTTTCCTCCCACACCAAAGACATGCTGGTAGGTTAATTGGCTTCTGTGTAAATTGTCCCTAGTATGTGTATGTATGAATGTGAGTTAGGGACCTTAGATTGTACACCCCTTGAGGGTTAGGGACCTTAGATTGTACACCCCTTGAGGGTTAGGGACCTTAGATTGTACACCCCTTGAGGGTTAGGGACCTTAGATTGTACGCCCCTTGAGGGTTAGGGACCTTAGATTGTACACCCCTTGAGGGTTAGGGACCTTAGATTGTACGCCCCTTGAGGGTTAGGGACCTTAGATTGTACGCCCCTTGAGGGTTAGGGACCTTAGATTGTACGCCCCTTGAGGGTTAGGGACCTTAGATTGTACACCCCTTGAGGGTTAGGGACTGATGTGAATGTACAATATAAATGTAAAGCAATGTGTAAATTGATGGCCCTATATAAGTACCTGAAATAAATAATATAAATGCTGTATAATAAAAATAATGCCACTTCTTTGAGAAAGCTGATTCTAATATGGAAGAAGAAAAGCAGAGGTGGTGGTGTGAGATGTGGTGGTGCGAGTCAATCACTCCCCATCATTGGCTGGGACAGTGGAGTGATCATTTGTCATGGCATTGGAATGCCGTTATATTACATGGTCATGGCAGAGAAAACCCTCACACAAACATATCAGTATTGTCATCTCCAAGTCTTCAAAAACACCCTGAAAGGGAAAATGTATACATGTTTATTAGATGTACTGTATATATACTCAGGTGCATATATATGTGTGTTTTTTATTATATGTATATTATATATACTGTATATTATATGTATATGTGTTTATTAAATATGTGGATTATGTACAATATACAGTATATACAATATTTTTTTTATGTATACAGTATGTGTTCATTATAAGTATATGTGGTTATGTATATATATATTTTTTAATAAACATCATAGATTACAGGAAGCCAGCATTTTTGGCAGTCAGTAGCGCCTTTTCACATTTAAAGCAGTGTTAGCTTCAAAACCAACCAAAAAACAAAATGCAGTATATTGCAGCTTGCAATCCTTTAAATGTAATGTCTGCATTAGTTTTCCTTTTATTTTCACCTGCTGATCTGGCCAGTAACACATCCCCGGGCTTATGGTGTCTCCACTCTGGATGAAGGTGCAACAAAGACACCTTTGGACAGCAGCATTGTCAGTCTGAAGGATGGGTAGTGTTAGACTTTTTTCTTTTGGATATACAGTATGTTTTCCAAAAAATGAGAATAAGCAGATCATTGTAAGCACCCCCCGTTAGTAGTAAATGGTCTGTCTCAACCGTCTAACTGCCACTTTTGCTGGACAGCTTGGCCTGGAAAAAGAACACTTCCCAGAAATAGTAAGCTGCAATATATATCGTTTTTGGGTAATACCACTTCCATTGAGGTGCATTAATGCACACATACTGTATCAGAGCACGTTACTGCACCACAATGGTTAAAAAAAACATACAGAATTCTTTTTTGAGAACAGAGCACAGTACAAGGTGCAGTCCATGGGATGTGGTGTTTTATGGTGCAAAAGCTCCAGGTGCTCCAATACATAAGGGGGGATATGATCACCATGTATAATACATAAGGGGGATATGATCTCCATGTATAATACATAAGGGGGGATATGATCTCCATGTATAATACATAAGGGGGGGATATGATCTCCATGTATAATACATAAGGGGGATATGATCTCCATGTATAATACATAAGGGGGGATATGATCACCATGTATAATACATAAGGGGGGGATATGATCTCCATGCATAATACATAAGGGGGGATATGATCTCCATGTATAATACATAAGGGGGGATATGATCACCATGTATAATACATAAGGGGGGGATGTGATCTCCATGTATAATACATAAGGGGGGGATATGATCTCCATGTATAATACATAAGGGGGGATATGATCTCCATGTATAATACATAAGGGGGGGATATGATCTCCATGTATAATACATAAGGGGGGTATGATCTCCATGTATAATACATAAGGGGGGATATGATCTCCATGTATAATACATAAGGGGGGATATGATCTCCATGTATAATACATAAGGGGGGATATGATCACCATGTATAATACATAAGGGGGGATATGATCTCCATGTATAATACATAAGGGGGGATATGATCACCATGTATAATACATAAGGGGGGATATGATCACCATGTATAATACATAAGGGGGGGGATATGATCTCCATGTATAATACATAAGGGGGGGGATATGATCTCCATGTATAATACATAAGGGGGGGATATGATCTCCATGTATAATACATAAGGGGGGATGTGATCACCATGTATAATACATAAGGGGGGGATGTGATCTCCATGTATAATACATAAGGGGGGATGTGATCACCATGTATAATACATAAGGGGGGATGTGATCTCCATGTATAATACATAAGGGGGGGATATGATCTCCATGTATAATACATAAGGGGGGATATGATCTCCATGTATAATACATAAGGGGGATATGATCTCCATGTATAATACATAAGGGGGGATATGATCTCCATGTATAATACATAAGGGGGGGATATGATCTCCATGTATAATACATAAGGGGGGGATATGATCTCCATGTATAATACATAAGGGGGGGACATGATCACCATGTATAATACATAAGGGGGATATGATCACCATGTATAATACATAAGGGGGGATATGATCACCATGTATAATACATAAGGGGGGATATGATCTCCATGTATAATACATAAGGGGGATATGATCTCCATGTATAATACATAAGGGGGGGATATGATCTCCATGTATAATACATAAGGGGGGATATGATCTCCATGTATAATACATAAGGGGGGATATGATCTCCATGTATAATACATAAGGGGGGGATATGATCTCCATGTATAATACATAAGGGGGGGATATGATCTCCATGTATAATACATAAGGGGGGATATGATCTCCATGTATATATACATCAGTGGTTCATATAGTGAACTCGGTGTAGTTATTCCCCCTGAGGTCATCACAGAGGACAAGGGGGCGCTCTTTACGTCTGGAGGAAAAGAAATGTAATCTCCAAACACGGAAAGGTTTCTTCACAGTGAGAGCTGTGAGAATGTGGAATAGACTCCCTCAAGAGTTGGTTGTGGTCAGCTCAGTGGATTTCTTTAAAAAAGTCCTGGATTCTTTCTTGGATACACAGAATATAACTGGATATAACATTTATAGGTAAAGTTGATCCGGGGATTATCTGATTGCCTCTCGGGGGATCAGGAAGGAGTTTTGTTCCCTGCAGGAGCAAATTGGATCATGCTTTGCTGGGTTTTTTGCCTTCCTCTGGATCAACTGTGGGTGTAGGATTATAACTTTTTAATTTTTTTTTATGATTGAACTGGATGGACTTTTTCAGCCAGACTAACTATGTAACTATGTAATATATAATAAATATACATATACAGCATATATATAATATTATAACCATTTAATAAACACACACATGTATACATATATATATCTTCTGTCAGCCATGTTTTGTTGTCAGCAACTCAAAAATAATTAAGACCACTGGGTCAGCATAACAGCCAGGCAACCAGCATTTTTTTAAATGGAAGCTCAGTAATTTCTGCCTACAGTATGTATAACCTAAGGATAGGGATCTAGTAACAGCTATTGAAGGTATTTTGTGGCTTACGCCCTGCTGCAGACTTAACAAGCACTTATTACATAACAGTGTGTGTCAAGCCTGTCATTATCCTCCTTTGCTCTCCTGTGTAATGAATATGTGTTTAAACACTGCACGGGTGATTAACGCTTTTACTGAGAGATTGAGCTAATTGCCCTTGACAATCATTTTATTATCCTATTAGTATCACAATGATTACTGTCAAGTGCTTAAAGGTCTCAGTAGCAACAAGATGAAGAGCTCAGTTACAGCCAAATTGCTCTGGTTAAACGGTCATAGACGGCCATTTCAATGCTTTTTAAAAAAAAAAAACGAAAAAAAAAACTAACAACTTCTTCCATTCACACAAATGAGGTGGATGGTGGAATACCGTCTGCTAGAACATTGTTTTCCAACATTGTTTTCCCTTCTATCGACTTCTGTTGAGCAGAGATGGCCGCACATGGATCAAAATTCAGTCAGTTCCTGCTGAACCGATTGAATTACAATCCACCTATGCCCAGCTTTTGAGTCCGTGGAATGGAATGCAGTGGATAGGTAAAACAGGTGCTTTAGATCACCCTTTCTCAACCAGGGTTCCATGGAACCTTAGGGTTCCTCAGGGGCGGACTGACAACTCATAGGGCCCCAGGCAATAGAGGATCATGGGGCCCCTGTGTCCTTGCCCAAACTCAAAAAAGCCTATGAAAAAGGTACCAGGGGCATCTCATGGGGCCCCCTGCTGACCCTGGGCCCTCGGGCAGTGCCTGAGTTTCCAAATGGCCAGTCCGCCCCTGGGGTTGCTCCAAAGGTTACTAGGGCATCCATGACCAGTGAACGACTTCTGACTATTCGAGGACTTATCACTGACATCAATGATCTTTTTTAATGAAAAAAGGCATTCAAGAGCCACTGGGAATTTGATATGAAGTAGTGAGAGGGCAAAAACATTTCAAGAGCTTACTGATTCAGGTTAGGCTGCTCACAAAAAACAAGGCTACCCTCCTGTGGGTACCACAGCAGGATACCCAAAAGGAAGGAAGCACCAGACCTAAAGATGTCTGTTGATGGGATTAGTCTGGTGTCAACTTGACCTCATTACCTAATCAGTGTGGGATGCTTATCCCAATGTGTAATATTTGTTTTTATTGTTCATGTATGGCACTGTCTCTATTTCTGAAGTGTATAAAAACCTGTATTTCTGTTCAATAAAGAGTTCCAGTTGCACCTAAGCTAGTATCATCTAGTTATTGGGTGCGATGCCCAGCTATAATACCTTGGTCCTGTGTCCTAGCAGTGAGGAAGCGGTTCTCTGATGGAATCACCCAATCGGGGTGACAGGTGGTCCTTCACATGGCATATCTTCTAAACTGACTTTCTCAGCAAGGGTTCTGAGGATCTCTAGAGTTCCTCAAGATGCTACCAGGGTTTCCTTGAGGAGGGAGCAATTTGTGATTCTTAGTCCTCATGCACACTGGACGTTTTTACAGTGGTTGTTTTTGGTTTTTGATGTTTTTTGTTAGATATGCCATGTGAAGGACCACCTGTCACCCCAATTGGGTGGAATCACCCAATCGGGGTGACAGGTGGTCCTTTCCATGGCATATCTTCTAAATTGACTTTCTCAACAAGGGTTACGAGGATCTCTAGAGTTCCTCAAGATGCTACCAGGGATTCCTTTTGGAGGGAGCAATTTGTGATTCTTAGTCCTCATGCACACTGGATGTTTTTACAGTGGTTGTTTTTGGTTTTTGATGTTTTTTGTTAGATATGCTATGTGAAGGACCACCTGTCACTCCAATTGGGTGGAATCACCCAATCGGGGTGACAGGTAGTCCTTTAAGTGGCATATCTTCTAATTTGACTTTCTCAACAAGGGTTACGAGGATCTCTAGAGTTCCTCCAGATGCTACCAGAGTTTCCTTGAGGAGGGAGCAATTTGTGATTCTTAGTCCTCATGCACACTGGACGTTTCTACAGTGGTTGTTTTTTTGGCTTTTGATGGTTTTTTTCTACAGCCAGTAAACCCCCCAACATGAACACATAGACTGTAATCAACATTTTTTGGCTGGGATGTTTTTTGGCTGGAAAAAAACCCAGGACTAGTGGGTTTCTAGAGGAATTTTTTTAGCTGTAAAAACACTCTAATGCTGAAAAACGCTGAAAAAAATGTCACAAACCGGCGTTTTTGGCCAGTTTTTTTACCAAAAAAATTTTTCTTTTTGGTAACATAAGGTAGACATAAGGTAGAAAGATCTTATCAGTGTGTTCAGGCAGTTGGGTTAGGCAGGCTTTAAAAAGAGAGGAATGCAGGCCAGACATGGGTCGATTTCCGATCAAATTCTCTTTATAAAATCAGCAATTTCAAGCATTTTGTAATCCGATGGTCCCACCATTGATTTCGAAATTCAACCAACCAAGCCTTTAATTTTGCCTCGTGTTGTTACAGAAAAGATTTTTCGTGACCAAGAATTTTCTTTTCTCTCCAGGTCACAGCTCATGCTCATTTTCTTTTCGATTACTTTTCTCGCACGATTCTTCCATCACTGATTAGAAATTTGTTCATATTTTAAAAATCTTCCAACATGCCCGATCACTCAAATTCGATGGTCGCTCAAAAATCGGCCGATGCTGTGGCTGGCTAATGGTGTGAAATTCAAACAAAAATTCTTAGAAAAGATTTTTGAAAGAAAATTCTTTCGGAATTCAACCCACGTATGGGCCGGCTTAGCAAGTGAGAAAAGGTGTAGGGGGGGGAGAGGTGCTCCCTGATCGGGATGTATATTGTCTAACAAGCACACTGTCTGAACACATCGATTTATTGAAGCCACTGCAGCCAGCCAGCATTACATGTGACAGTTGAGTCCAGGGGCGGACTGACAACTCATGGGGCCCCCGGGCAATATGGGATCATGGGGCCCCTGTTTCCTTGGCCAAACTCAAAAAAGCCTATGAAAAAGGTACCAGGGGCATGTCATGGGGCCCCCTACTGACCCCGGGCCCTCGGGCAGCGCCCGAGTTTCCAAATGGTCAGTCCGCCCCTGGTTGAGTCCATGCAGCTATTTGGGCTGGAGTACTGTGTGCTGCATGATTTGTTTTGCTGTAGTTCTGATCATACCGTCTTGCAGGTCCTGGGCTTCAGGTACTGTGTGTTTCTTCCTCCCGGCAGCCCCATTCAGCCTCGTTGAGGCCTCCATCATCTGCTTATAGTAAATGTGGCGGGCTGGGGAGGGGGAGGATGACAGTGCCTGCTGATTGGCTAAGGATGGATGAGAGGAGGAGCAGCTATTGGATGTGGGCCCCCTACTTCCCAAATGCCCGAATGGTCACTCCACTAGTGCTCGGGACAGCAGAGGGCAAAATTCTGTGCCCCTCTAAGTCTTGTGCCATGGGGGGGGGAGCAAGGAACAATCTAGGAGGGGCTACTGCCCCCCTGTAGTGGTTCCACTGTTACCTGGGGAGGAGGCGAGTGGCAATCCTGCACTGTCCACTGCCTGCATGTAGAAGTATCTGACAGGAGGCTGATGGAGGCAACCAGCCCAGGACCCCACACCAGGCTCAGCTCCAGGCACAGCGGACACAGGGGAGAGGAGGAGCGAGGACCCTGGAAAGACTGACAGCTCGGAGTATGTCATGTGTGTCCTGAGCTCTGCCCAACTCCGCCCCACCTGGCATTCAGGGAGAGGCCTGGAGGATCTGGCTACTTTTGATTGGTGCTATGTGGAGGGGACAATCTGCAAAGATCCCGCTGACTGGGGGGATAGAGTGTTCTTCCATTGCTGCAATGTGTCTGGGACATACTCACTCCCATGTTATTTCCACTTGCCATATGCGAGCAGGCAAGTGGAAATTTTGAGCCCTGATTAAATGTATGGCAGGAAGTAATATTTTGATGGCCATCATCTGTAAAGGTTCTTACTCTTGACTCTTCATTTTTTAAACTGAATTTTGGCTGCATATGTGAGTGTGACCTCAGAATCATGTTTGGTCATGCATTTTAAAAATGTCTGACTGTCATTGAGAATGTAAACCAACTCTGTGTATAAGTGCCCCCCCCAACTTGAAGTGCCCTGGGCCCCCCAAAGCCTACAGTTGCAAGAAAAAGTATGTGAACCCCTTGGGATTACGTGGAGTTTTGCATGAATTGGGCATAAAATGTGCTCTGAACGTCATCTAAGTCACAACAATAGAAGAACACAGTCTGCTGAACATAATACTACACAAACATTAGATGTTGCCATGGTTTAATTGCACATAACATGTAAACATTCACAGTGCAGGGAGGAAAAAGTATGTGAGGCCCTAGCTTAATGACTTCTCCCAGAGCTAATTGGAGCCAGGAGTGAGCCAACCTTGACTCCAATCAGTGTGATGATATTGGATGTGTTGCTGACAGCTGTCCTGCCCTTAAAAAACACACACCTGATTTGGGTTTACTGGTTTCAAGAAGCACTGTCTGATGTGAACCATGCCTCGCAGAAAAGAGCTCTCAGAAGACCTACGATCAAGAATTGTTGACTTGCATGAAGCTGGAAAGGGTTACAAAAGTATCTCCTTTGTCCAGCTGTCTGGCTGGTGGGAAGAGAAATCCCGAGAGAGCCGTGGAAGGGTGCCGGAAGCGCTCCAATTGCTTGCACAAAGGAGCCGGCCTAATAAAAAATTACCGGGTGATCCCTGTAGTTGCAGGCATCACTCCAGTATAACCCCGAAAGTCCAGTAATGTACGGGTACATCGCTGGTCCAGAAGTGGATAACAAGAAAAAAATTACTGACCCCGTCCACTGCCCTACTGACCCTGTCTACTGCCCTACTGACAAAGTCCACTGCCTTACTGACATCAACCACTGCCCTACTGACCTCGTCCACTGCTCTACTAACCTCATCCACTGCTCTACTAACCTCGTCCACTGCTCTACTGACCTTGTCCATTGCCCTACTGACAAAATCCACTGCTCTACTGACCCTGTCCACTGCCCTACTGACTCCATCCACTGCCCTACTGACAAAGTCAACTGCCTTACTGACAACTTCCATTGCTCTACTGACTGACACCATTCTCAGTCCTACTGACACCAATGATTGAACTACCAGAGTTGCAATCTGAGAAATGGACCCTTACAATAGTACAATATGTAAAGTGCTGTGCAAATTGTCAGTGCAATATCACCAGGAGCCTAACTTAACCCCTTGACGCCGACGTAACACAAATATGCGGCCTCACGGAACTGGGCTTTTTTCCGTGGGGCCGCATATTTGCGTACCTGTCTTTGTGCTGGGAGCGCGCCTCTCGGCGTGCTCCCAGCACCAAGACCGCGGTGTCACTGAGAGCCCCGGGTCCCGTTCTAACGATCGGGACCCGGGACTCCCCGATTCTGGGTCATGTGATCGCTGTGATAGCCTCTGATTGGCTATCACAGTGATCAATCACTGTGCAGCCCGGCCCCCTTGTTTTCTCTCTCTGTATGAATGGAGAAGAGAGATACATTGTATCTCTCGAACTCCTGACATAGAGAGATAAAAAAAAAAGTTTGTAAAAAAAAAAAAAAAAAAAAAAAAAGATAAATAAATATTAAAAAATAAAAAAGAAAAAATAAAGAAAAATACCTAGATCAAGGTTTGATCTAGTTCAGTACCAGGGTTAGTGTTTGGGTCAAGGTCAGGGTCAAAGGTCAGGGTCAAGGGCAAAGGTCAGGGTCAAAGGTCAGGATTTAAAAAAAAATTGGTATCAGTGTCAGTTAGTGTTAATGTCAGTGACAGTGTGTTTTATGTAAAAAAAAAATAAAAAAAAAGACAAAAACAAAATGCGCACTGTTGTTTCTGGAC